TTGAACCGCCAGCCTTCTGGTTAGCAGTCAAATGCCTTCAGCACTGTGCCACCAGAGCTCTCGTAACCAACCCTAGCCAACACATAATCATAGCAGTGACCACACAGTGGCCCTTCTTTTGTGCCGTAAATGTCAAGATGCCAAAGTAGGAGTTCAAATAAAATTTCCAGGAAGTCATCGTCTTTTAATTTAAGTGAGTGTATTTTGGGGAAGTGACCGTATAATAATGTATCCCCCCCCAATTTTATTTGTTTTTTGTTGTTGTTGAGAATATATACAAAATATATCAGTTTAACAGATTTTTCTGTGTACAATTTAGTGACATTGATTATTATAGTGTTTCAAGAATGTGCAGTAAACCTAGACTTCTGTGTGTGGAAGGGACCTACTGATTCAGCCCTTTCATTTGACAGATGATAAAATGGAGCCTACTTAAGTAAAATGATTTGCTAGTTGGTGCCAGAACTGTGGTCTGTGGTTCCCATTCCATTGCACTCTTGTTTGCATTATAAACAGCTTGATGATCTCTCTTTTTCATGGGCTAAAATAAAATAAGGTAACCCATTTGAATTGGTACAATTCCAGCTTTGTTTTTTCATAGATGAAGAACTGCCAGCATGCTAATGCTGAACGTCCTACTAGTGCCCGGATCTCATCTGTGCAGTTCCACCCTCGTGCACAAGTTGTGATGGTTGCTGGGTTAGATAATGCTGTTTCGCTGTTTCAGGTATGCATTTTTAAATGAAGATTTGTAGTGAAGGTGTTTACTACCAGGATAGAGCATCCATGGAAATAACCAAGAGAAACATTTTTTTACTTCTTTCATAGGTTGATGGAAAAACGAATCCTAAAATCCAGAGCATCTACTTGGAAAAGTTTCCAATCTTTAAAGCTTGTTTTAGTGCTAACGGAGAAGAGGTTTTAGCCACAAGCACACACAGCAAAGTCCTTTATGTCTATGATATGTTGGCAGGAAAGTTAATTCCTGTGCATCAAGTGAGAGGTAAACTTTCTGTTGAACATACAGCCAGTCATTCCCCCTAACCCGTTATGAATTAATTTAACACACTTACAACCGCTTTTTTTGTCATCTGACATAATGCCATAATGAGATAATATGCTTGAATGAAACTAGTATTGAACTGACTTATTTATTGAGCACTTATTATAGAAAAATATGTTCTAGTATTTTTTATCATAGAATTTTGATTTACATTTAAAGGAAACATAACATTGCTCTTTTGAGTTGTGTAATTATTTTGAGGAGCTCTGGTAGCATAGTGCCTAAGGCACTTG